GCTTCCTATGCCCCTGGTTGCTGGCACAGGTGCCCCAGCAACTAAATAACACATACACTATGGATAAACTATTTACAAATTATTATGTTCTTTTATCAGTTTTTTAAATAATTTAAATTGACAGATTTGACAGAAATCTGATGGTCAGGAAACAGATTATATAACGTGTCGAAATTTGCAATTTGGTTAGAATTTAGTAGTACTTAAATTATGCAATGCTACTTCCAGCGATTAATCTAATCCCAATTCTATTCTCTACTGATCTAGTGATCTGAATATGCAACATATGACCCCAACAAATTAGCACCGTATTGAACTGCCCCGTTAATTAATAAATCCTGTTGTATTTCTCCAGAGCAACTTTAGTTTATGGATCGGACTATCCCAGGTCAAAAATAAAAGACATTTTTTAAAAACAAGGCAGTTCTTGTTCAACACTAACTTATTGGGGGTTGTATACTTCAATAGATCTGTTAAATTTTATCGTGTAAGAATACCTGGTTCTGGGAAAAAGCGTCCAATACCAAAATCAGACAGCAGTAAATTACCATCCACATCAACAAGTATATTGGTTGGCTTCAAATCTCTGTGGATAATTCTGGGCTCTCTAGCATGTAATGCTTTCAGCCCTAACAACACTTGATGTATCATCTTTCTAGCACGCGATTCTGTTATCGTTTCGCCTTCCTCCCTGATATATTCTTCAAGATTCTGTTCATACAAGTTCAGAATCAAATAACCGAAATCAGGGTTGGAAGTGTCATCGTAGAAACAATAATTTACAATTCGTGGCGACTTGACTGCATTCGGAGAATTCAAGATATCTCGTTCATTCTTCAAGAATTTCTTACACAGTTGTTTTGGCAAACGTTTTATCGCTCGTTCTATTCCGTCAGATCCCAAGCAAATATACACCTCTGTGCCATTACTGCCACTGCCTATTGCGAACTCTTCTTTGAAACATACGCCATTATCATTTATTATTGTTATCAACTCCGGGTCACTTTCCCACAGTTCTAAAAGCCGTTCAAACTTCTCCCTATGCTTTACAGAAACTTTAATCCAATCTCTGGGTTTTAAGGCTGCGGTTCTTTCAGTTTTCTCATCTCGTTGCCTCTTAAGCCACATAGCTTCTCTTTGCTCAGATCTGGTTCTGATGCTCGATAGTTTTCTCTTTAGCGCTGTACGTCGCTTCCTTAAATCTTTTTCGTCACTTCTCCCCTTCACGAGTTCGTTCATCTCTTGTCGGGAGAGATCAAGTAACACTTGGTCAGATATATAGTCAAAATCTGCAGTTTCTTCGTGTTCTTTCTCCATTTTCGCTTTCGAGATTCGTTTCTGTTGAGTGTTGTCTATATTAATATTGTCTATTACCCTACATGGCGCAGCCAGTATTATAATAGTTGTCTATTGTCACGACTCACGGGAACTATAGGAATTACAGGAACTACAGGAATTCGTTAATTTTTGCGGAAAATTAGCAATTTTCCAGCTAAAACTATCAATAATGACAAATTATAATAAATATAGCACATGGAAGCATATAAAGCAGCCCAAAAATGCTTCACAAATATTAATAATGACGTCTGCGAATTTGTGAACTTCGCACTCTCTTGATTATTTCGCCTTTCATATTTGCAGAACATTTGATATAAATGGACGATTAAAATGTTTATTTTCGGAATTACTGTTGTTTTATATTTTATTAAAATACTCAGTGGTTCCCGTAATTTGATAATGGCGCCAGATTATTTTGTAATTGTTTTGTCTTCATAAGTCATTATACTGTAAGCGAATTCATATTTCTTCTTTATATTTAGAAGTTTACGCACAGAACGTTCGAGTTTATAGACAACATGTAACTGTGTTGATAGACTTTACTATAAATATACCTTTTATAATTACGAAGGCTTACGCGGCACATTTAGAAGTCATACCGCTCATACGGGCAAAACAATTAGAATTTAGAAGTCATATGGGCAAAACAATTAGAAGTCTTACGCGGACCATATGACTTCTAAATTTTGCCCACATGACTTCTAAATACTGCCCGTATGACTTCTAAATTTTGCCCATATTAATATGGGCAAAATTTAGTAGTCATACCGGCAAAATTTAGAAGTCATACCGGCAGGCAATTCATACGAGCGAGGTTTATCATAATATCATTTATTAGGCATTTCGAGCGTAATTTATACGTTTACGGGCAATGTTTACGGATTGCTAGATAGTATACTTCAAAATAAGGTTTCCGTTTTTATAACGTAGAAAAAACTATCCTAACGCAAAACTAAACCCTATTAACCTAACCCTAACTTATTTTAAAAATTGATTAATAAATCACGCAAATCCTTTGTGGCCAAATTGGGTGACGGAAAGTGCGGTTTCTTGGGGGTAAGGGCCCCCAGAAAAGCTGGAGAAACAACATCAGGGTGAGAGTAAGGGCCCTCACCGTTATGGACATTGAATCTCATGTCCGAGCCGGTCTTCCCCGTGGTGAAGTGATCGAGAGATGCGAAGATCAGGACGAGGGTGCCCCCGCCGTTATGGACCTTGCTCTCTTTTGCCGGTGTGTGCTTCACCGTGGGCGAAGTGTGGCCGTGTGGACACCACTTTCCGTCCCGCTTTCTTTATTTCTTCTTGAATGTATAAAAATATTTACAAGTTGATCAAACAGAACAAATAAGATATGATTACAATTGATTTCTTATATTTAATTAAGTTCTATAGTTCCTGATTATTGGGATGCTTCTTCTTCATCAAAGGGTTGGGTGGGTGGGATTTTCCTTCCATGTTGTCTCGAAGACCGTTGAAACCAGAGTGAACTGAGATAAAATTTGACTAGCTTTTGCTGATAACTGAAGAATGTCGGCTTAGCAAAATGGGATTATATTGGCAATTTGGCATTCACACATGGCAGGTGTTGCCCGGAGAGCAAGGCGGTTGTTTTCTTTGCTTATCGTTTCCGTTTAGTTTTCGGTATGGATGTTGCCTCTTATTAATCCTAATTTATTTTTTAAAATAAATTGCTCCTATAAAAACGGAAACCTTATTTTGAAGTATACCGATCTAGCAATTGCCCAATGTTTACAGGTATTACGGGGATATTCATAGGCGTACCGGACGGGGGGCGGGGGAGGGGGGGCGGAGGCCCCCCCCCCAGTTTTTTGGGCAGTCGGGCAATATTCGATTAACAGTCGGGCAATTTTGGGTTGTTATAAAAAAAAAATCCGACAAATTCTGTCAGTTTTTTCGAAAATTTAGTCAATTTTGTGGCAAATGTAGTGTTTTTTTGGAAAATTTATGTGATGGTCCGAAAAATTTTGGTATGTCCGGAAAATTTTTTTTGCCCCTTAAATGGTAGACTGACCGAAATTTTTTTGGCGACGGGGGGGGGGGCACAATCACGAAAAGCCGGGCAATTTTCTTTCCACCCCCCTAATTTTTTCCTTCCGGTACGCCCATGGGGATATTTCTAAGTATTGTGCTCACAGGCTCTGGCTCACAGAAGCGGGGTCTAAATGTCTTTGGGCCCTCAGTTTAACAATGGTCAATAATAAACCGTGTAGACAAAACAATTTGAGATATTTTGTTACCTTTAGAACTGTGTAAATCTCCTTCTGAATTGCAGGAAATGGCATTTCAGAGATTCTAGTTTTAAAGAGTCGCCCCCCCCCCGCTAAGTGTACGCAAAGCATGATGTAAGGCACATTTATTCTGTGATGATGTTCTATAACAAACATACTTGCAGGTTCGGTGAGTCCGGGATTGGACGCACCGAGGGTGGCTGGAAGTTTCCCGAACTCAACGAGCGAAGCGAGGTGAGTTCTAGACTTGCTCCAAGTCTCTCTTTGTGGACATCTATATATTGTACATCTATATTGTACGTTGGGAAACTTCCAGTCACCAGAGGTGCGTCCAATCCCGGACTCACCGAACCTGCAAGTATGTTTGGTTTTTATCACATGCCATTTCGGTAAAATACTAAAAAGTACTGAGGAATTTTATACGCATTTTACTTTTTAGTATATAATTTCGTGTTTGGATAACGAACATTTTAGCCGCCAACATACTACGCAAACAAACTTAGGCTTAAATTAAAGCTAAAAAAATTCTCTACAATACTCCCTTATTCTTCAAAAGAAAAAATGAACACATTCTGCGGAAACAATGCCATGATTTAGGCCAAATAAAAAAAAATACTTGGTTAGCGTCACCGCCCGCCTCTCGATTTTCTGCCGCCTCTGAATTTTTTTTAATTTTTTTTTTATGTAAATCCCTTCGTTTTACAGCTTAAAACAGTTTAATATTTGAAATTTTTCTCATGTTCAGACCTTCGCGCTATATACTGATCGATAGGAGCACGTAGGCTTGGGTATACAAGGTTCTTAAAGCAAAATGGCGGCCTTCGCAACATCAGCACAAAAAATATCACCGATATGGTGGAAAAGCCGCCCCCATCCCCCCAAAAAATACTATTAAAAATTAAAAAACGAGTAAAAATTAAAAAATAAAAACCGCCCGCCTGCCTCTGAAAATTTGTGAGAGTGTGACGCTAACTAAGTATTTTTTTTTATTTGGCCTTATATAAACCTGCCCGTGCCGAACAAATTTCGGCGGCCATCTTTCTTTTTTTCCACTTTGAATACAGAATATTCCCATTTTCATCACACAAAATAAAAAAATAATAATTATAAAACAATTTAGCCCGCGTGCAGGCCCAAGGGAGCAGGCTCAAGGGAACTTGATAGTGGGCCTGCAAGCAAGGCCCGGTATTTTGTACTTTCCGCGTTCGCCCACGAACGCGGCATTCTGATTGGCTGTTTGCTGTTGGATTCTATAATTAGGTCAGTGATTCATCACAAAGGCATAGACAAAGGCTCTCGATAAGCTCAAAATTCGAAAATTGATCACTTTTTTCGATTACAAATGAACAAGAACAGACTGTTTATTGTTTACTTGAAGGAAGAGATATTTTTGCCGTTATGCCAATGGGGATTGCTTGTCGTAAGGTGTTGGAATATCAACATTACGACTGGGGTAAACTCTAGTAACCTTTACTTGAGTTTCATTAATTTCAAACAGACTTGATACGTTATATGTTCCCCAAGAAAATGATCGTTTGGTTGATGTTGAGATTCAGTTGCATGTAAGCCTATTCGAAACACTTTGTGATTTACAAGGCTTCGCTGAGAGAGCGAAACAGAAGACGGTATTAAATTGCCGTTTGAAACGAAACGATCTGGACTCTGAACGCTCTCTTCTTTTGTAGAGTTATTTACCAAATGAAATAACTAAAATAAATTTCGTACTTTCCGCCGCCAACAAGAATTGCACACACGATCTGATAAGTGAGACAATTTATTTATAACAATGGCGACAGCGAAGCACACATAATATAAATGCTGATGTGGTCGCACGACTTCCCTCACGATTTGAAGTTTGAGAATGGTTTTCTGTTGAAATTCGTCTTAATTTGCCTGTTCCGATTTTAGTTGAAAATGAGCACCGGCAAATTTGTCAATTACTGACGGCGTTGCTTGCTTTTTTGGCGTTAAAACGCAGCCATTTAGACATTGTTTATGTTCTGAATAAGCAGAGAAAACCCCGCAACATTTTAATGCGAGTTTGTTTGTTAATATTTGGGTGCTGTCATTGGTTCTTTTTTGACAATTGACGCGCGAATGGGGCGTGTTACGAAAAGGGGCGTTTTACAAAATACCGGGCCTTGCTTGCAGGCCCACTATCAGTTCCCTTGGGCCTGCACGCGGGCTAGACAATTAAAAACAGTTAGTTTATTTTTCTATTTAAATCTTCGTCTGAAATTTGTTCAAATCGCTTCATAATGGCCGCCGCCAAAACATCGATCTGGAACCCACCTCCTAAAACATACGTCAGCAGGTGGGTTCTATAACAAACGTACTTGCAGGTTCGGTGAGTCCGGGATTGGACGCACCTCGGGTGGCTGGAAGTTTCCCGAACTTACCGAGCGAAGCGAGGTGAGTTCGGGAAACTTCCAGCCACCCGAGGTGCGTCCAATCCCGGACTCACCGAACCTGCAAGTACGTTTGGTTTTTATCCCATTTAGCCCATACACACATTTGTAGCTCTTCGCGATATATTCGTCGATGTTTTGTGAACATTTTCCCGGCCAAAAAAATCACTGGGCAAGAAAATACTTCTTTATCTACGTCTACATTACCTTTACTGCATTTTTTCTTTGGTTTTTCTTCAGTCTCGGTATGTTAGTCACCGAAAAAGGTTCTTTAATTTAAAGTTTAGGTTTATCGGCTAAATCTTGTCCGCCATATTTGTTATTGTTATTGCAACGTAAGCAGTTTAGCGGGTGAGTTCGGGCGAAAAGCAGGTGAGTTCGGCAAAAAGCAGGTGAGCTCGACGACAAGCTCACCTGCTCTAAACCAATCAGAAAGCCGCTTTTAACACAGGTATGGGATAATTAAATTAGCTTACCCCCACTCCCCTCAGCCCCCCCCCCAATAGGAAAGCCGCTAATACGCTTAGGTATGAGATAAAAAGCCATCTTCCCTAATTAGATAGGCCATGATGAAATTTAGACACAAAACTTTATAGAATGAGACTAGATCAAGGAGCGGACCATCTATATAAAGTCGAGGTATGTCCGCGCGCAAAATTCCGCCAGGAGGAATCAGGGCGTGCCCTGATTCCGCCGAGTGGAAAACCGGCCTTAACCTCTCAAACCTCGTATCATTTTGTACAGCCGAAAGCTGGATTGCGTCATGGTCAGATTGGAGTGTTGAGGGCTCATTTACGGACAAAAACTCTGAAATTGTGACGTCATTAACATATTTCCAATGGCAAACCAAAGGTCGCGGGTTCCATTCCCACCGTGGTAAACAAACTTTTCAGCTTGCCCCCCCCCCCCGGTGTGAACACAATCAGAGACAACATCACAAACATATGTTATGATATATTGAGAAAAATATTGAGAAAAATAATAGTTTACAACTACGTATATATATTGTGCATGTGCTACTAAAATTACTACAAGTTTTAGGTTGCAAATTAAGATTAACTAAACTATCACGATAATAC